CCTCAACAAGCACTTTTGCATAAAAGACTTGGGAATTGAAATTGCAAGATCTCCAACCGGAATATCTCTTAGCCAACAAAAGTATGTTCTTGAACTCATAATAGATTTTGGGTTGTTAGCATGCAGACCAAATGCCATCCTTGTCAAGCAAAACAATAAACTCACTACTCAGAAATATGATAGTGGAATGCCACCATCAAAGATAAATCCACCATTGGAAAATCCTTCACATTATCCAAGGCTAGTGGGTTGCCTTATCTTTCTCACCATGACACATCTTGACATTAGTTATGCAGTGCACATTCTTAGCCAATTCATACGCAGACCAAAGCAATAATCTCAGATGAATGCAGCAATGAAAGTGATTAAGTATTTGAAAGGTTGTCTTGGCCTAGGACTCCCCTTGCCTCGGGATGAGCATCCAAACATCACAACATACTATGACTCGGTTTGGGCTACATGTCCAATGACAAGGAAATCTCTTACTGGTTTTTGCATCAAACTTAGGGAGCCCTTATATCCTAGAAAACAAAGAAACAATGAATAGTGTCACTATCATCAACAAAAGCTTAGTATATAGCCATGGCCAAAACTACATGTGAAATCACCTGGATTATTGGGCTATTAGGAGATCTAGAGATATAAGTAAGAAAGTTGGTTCAATTATTTTGTGACAACAAAGCTACAAATGACATTGTGGCAAATCTAGTATTCCAGGAAAGAATGAAACACATAGAGATTGACTACCATTTCATTAGAGGAAAAATCCAAGAAGGGATAATCAAGACCATGCACATTCGCACTACAAAACAACCGGGAGACACCTTCACAAAACCATTATGCAGCAGACAACACACATATTTGCTTCACAAACTTGGGGTCTATGACATATACAAACCATAAGCTTGAATGGGAGTGATGAAATATGGAATGCTGCTAGAATTACAGCTTGATTACAAACAATCTTCTTCACAAAATCAAGGCTACAATCCTAGCAATCAATCACCCATGATTTCTATAATTACATTATTGTGTTACTATTTTTACAATTACATTTCTTGTATAAACATAGCATTGTACAAACATTGTAAACACAATTGAATACAATACACAGAAAAGTATTTCTGCATTTCTTTTTTCTCAGCATACTTTGGCAACATGATCTGCTTCTCTTGCCTTCCACTTCAAACTCTAACAGTATATTCAAGTGTGTATTTTCAATGTACAGAGCTCTCTATTATCACTTTTAATTTATGCTAGATCAATACTATGATAATGGTTGGAAAGAAGAAAAAGCTTGATTCAAGTAATGACTGAAATCAAGGTTTGCTTGATTCAAGCGATTTGAACAGCAACACACCCCCCCCCCCCCCCCCCCCCCCAAAAAAAAAAAAAAAACAAAGCTCAAACGTGGGTAATGTAGACTCCAGCTTGAGATTGGAAACTAACTTAGTGAATCGTCCTAGATGATGAGTTGATGTAAGTAGCTGGAATAAGACAAAATAGTTGATTTCGGCACAAATTCAGCGTTGATGAGAAAGTCAAATGATGATGTGGCAAGTCAACAATGACATGACAAAGGTTAGCAATGGTGTGGCAAGTCAACGATGACGTGGAAAAAGACAACAATGGCGTGGCCAGTCAATGTGATGACATGGCAAAACTAACAAGGCAAGTCGTGTACAGACGTGTGTGAGGTGTGGCAAAGACAAAGGACCGTAATGGCAAAGGCAGAGGTCCTAGATGGCGTAAAATAGTAACCCAAGATAGTAGTAAGCGTTATCCTGATATGATTTAATATGCACTAGGAAAATTCCTAGGATACTAGAGGGGTAACAAATGGTCTCACTTAAAATCCACACTCCTTAGACTATTATCACCTTGGTGATAGAATTTTCCTAGACATACATATAACCATAGAAATAACACTAATTGTCCTAAACCTAGGCTTTCATACCATGTTAGAATTCTAGAGAGAAAGGCAAAGAATTCTAGAAAGAAAGGCAAAGCATGAAATTGTATATTCAAGTATGTATTTTCAATGTACAAGAGCTCTCTATTTATACTTTTCAATTTATGTTAGAATCATGCTAAAGCATCATGATAGTAGTTGGAATCAAGCTTTGCTTGATTCAAGCCGTTTGAGCAATGGCCAAAATCAAGCAAAAAGCTTGATTTTGGCTAACATCCTAATGACATGTTCATTTAATCGATTTCCATTCACTCGTTTGGTCTCTCAAGGAAAAACAGTCTTTGCTTTATGCATGGCTCTTCATATAAAATATTATGTACTCCCCTTCTCAAACAAGCTGTCATTACAGTACGCGTACGACAAATATCTAAGGGTCTATTTGTTTTTTTAGCCTAGAAAAACGTGAAATTCACATTCGTATATGAATATGGCAAACTTTATTTTGAGAAACGTGGAAAAATGCTGGGAGAAATTATAATTAGAAAACAACTATTGAGTTATTTAAGACAAGATCAAAAAAATAAGTGATACTCTAACAAGATTTAATCTTATATTTTAGATAAAAATGTCACACGTATTTTTATTTTTCATGTTTTCAAATATTGTTTTCAGACAAATATGAAAACAAGTTTTGATTTATTAAAAAAGAAGAAGAAGAAGGAAAGAAAAGGGTTGTTCAGACTCGACCTACACTAAAAGTGTGGATAATCATCTTCTTGTTGACTTGATCCAAGTCTTCTTAGCCACTTTCCAAGTCTTTGTATTAGTTACTAAGAAAAATCAATTGACTCCCCTAATGTTTAATTTCAAAAATAAATTTTAAACCCAACTGAAATAATGTATTATAATTACAACATTACCCTCACACACACACACACACACACACACACACACACACACACACACACACACACATGCAGACATGCATACATATCCACTATATGTATATAACCTTCTTTCCTCGAGTACAGGATCACTACTAACCTAAAATAGAAGCAAATCTAATCAAGCCACAACGCGGTGACCATAAAATGAAGAGATGGTAAAGACTAGAGAGAGCAAAGCTAGATTTGATATTAGTTGTAGAATTGTAGGACTAATTAGTGCTATTATAAAACATTGTCCTGTTGCAGGCAGAGTAAAGCTAGATTCGATTGTCATTTTTGCATAGTTTACTCTGTTTCCTGTAATTTTTTTTTTTTTTTTTTTAGGTAACGAGGTATTTGGCCATAATTGCTAGTCAAGCCCACCTAATCCTCGAGGTTACAAAACACCCACATTACCCTTACCTATATGTAAGGGTAACGTTGGGGTATTTTTATGGACATATATATAAATTTATCATTTTTAAAAACTGTTAGAGCCGATGGAAAATAACTTTTAAGCGCAAGTTAGGAATTTTAAAAACTGTTATTAAAAACTTTTCAAAACTGTTACAGTAGTTTACCCTCAAAACCACTACGGTGGTTTACCCTCATAATTGCTACCATAAAACTCCCAAATAGACCCTAAAGATTTATATCTAACAGAAGATTAACAAGATTTTTCCTAAAAGAACAGATCTAAAAGTAAAATAATTACAAGACTAAAGAACCTATAAGATAATTCAGATATAACTCTTATATAAAACAAGATTTATATCATGTCATGGTCAATGGCAAAGTAAAGAGTAAATGCAATATATCATATCATAATGATTAACATTATCACCCTCAGCTCAACTTCATTCAATTTCAGTTGAAGGTTTGTTGAGATCCAAAGAGTAAATGACATGTTCCCACCCAAAGATTAGCGAAAATCCAAGATCCCACCCCTAGTTTCATCTATCCCATATTCTCATTCTTAAATTAATATTGTTAGTGATTTTAGGGTTCTAAAACAATATGGAGAGTGTTATTACCAAAATACCCTTACAAATAAATTAGTAAATTATTTTAATCCCAAATAGATTTGGATTTCTCCGATAGTCGCAAGGGAGGGGAAAATTGGGAGAAAATGCTCAGATCCAACCAAAATGGAAGCGGATGAGGCTGGGAGATGGATGGGTTTTGTTGGGCATGAGTGGGGGAAGGTAGTGGTGGTGACAGTGATGTCAAACAGCGTCGGAATCCAGTTAGATCTTGATTTTTTCGATAGCCACGAGGGAAGGAAAATCGCGAATAAAAGGCTCAGATCCGGCCAAAATGGAGGCGGACGAGGTTGGGCGATAGATAGATTTTGTTGCGGATGAGTGGGGGAAGCTAGTGGTGGTGATGATGATGTCAAACGTTGGGCGATAGATAGATTTTGTTGCGGATGAGTGGGGGAAGCTAGTGGTGGTGATGATGATGTCAAACGACGCCAGAATCTAGCTGGATCTAGGTTTTTTCAGTAGCCACGAGGAAGAGGAAAATCGTAGAGAAAAGGCTCAGATCCAGCCAAAATGGAGGCAGACAAGGTTGGGGGATGGTTCGGTTCTATCGAGGATGCATGGGGGAAGCTAGTAGTGGTGGCGATGATGTCAAACGACGTCGGGATCTGGCCAGATCTAGATTTTTCCGACACTAATGAGGAAGGACAAAATTGCGGAGAAAAGACTCAGATTTGGCCAAAATGGAGGCGAACGAGGCTAGGGGATGGATGGGTTTTTTCGAGGATGAGTGGGGGAAGCTAGTGGTGGTGGTGATGTCCAACAGCAACGAAATTCGACCAGATCTAATTTTTTATGACTGTGCAAGGGAGAGGTGCTTGTGAAAGAAATTTGAGATGTAAAGAGTTATGTTTCAATTTTTATTTTTATTTAAGATTTAATGCAGTTCAAATTATCATTTTACTCTTTGAACATTTGATCAAATGATTTTCCGTTAATTTAAGGGTGGGAATCTCAAATAAATGAAACTAGGGAGGGAAACTGGGAATTTTGCCAATCTTTGGGTGGAAACAGTTGTTTGCTCAATCCCAATTGGCTCCTCAAGCACCTAGTCTCGTAACAATTAAGATGTATAAAAAAGTTGTGATAAAATACTTGGCATAAACCTATCCATTTCATTTTGTTGTTGTACAAAACCCTAAACCTCTCTTCTCTATTTCAAACCATGTCTTCCTCACTTTTAACTTCATCTTCTTCAACATTCTCTGTTCCCAATCTCAACAACAACAACAAAACTCCCTCTTTAAACCCATCATCATCATCTGTATCACTTTCGCTCACTAACCACACCCCATTAACTCAAACCCTCAAGTCCTTCGCCAAAACCCTCATATTAGTGGGCACCACTCTCTCAATCACCTCCAATTTCCCGGCCAAAGCTCAATCTCCTCCCGTCACTCTCACTGAAAACTTTACATTAGAAGAAGAAGATACCTTTGAACAAGGCATTGAATCTCTCAAATCCCTTCTGCAACAAAAGCTTGAAAACGGCCAAGACCAAGAATCTCTCACCATACTTCAACGCTTAGTGGCGGCGCAGCCTGAAGTGAGTGATTGGAAATTCTTGATGGCAAGATTGTTAGGTGAAATGGGTCGGACTCAAGAAGCCCGCAATGTGTTCGAAGAAATTCTTGTGAGAAATCCCTTGTCGTTTGAGGCGTTGTTCGAGAACGCTTTGTTAATGGACCGATGTGGAGAAGGAGAAGCCGTTATTAAAAGATTGCAAGAGGCTTTGGATTTGGCTGAAGAGGAAAACAAAGTGAAAGAAGCTAGAGATGTGAGGTTGATAATGGCGCAAATTCAGTTCTTGCAAAAGAATGTAGAGGAGGCTTTGAAGAGCTATGAAGAATTGGAGAAAGAGGATCCTAGTGATTTCAGGCCTTACTTTTGTAAGGGAATGATATATAGTTTGCTTGATAGAAATGCCGAGGCTTAAGAGCAATTTGCAAAGTATAGACAACTTTCACCGAAGAAATTTGAGGTGGAGGGTTATTTGAGGACCCCTTTGTCGAGGATGAAGGTTTTTGGAGCTAATCAAGAAAATGATGGTAATTGATTTATTGTTTTGAGTTCTTTTTTAATAAAAAATTTGTTGTTAAGTTTTGTAGTTTTATTTGAAACTTGTCAAACATGATATAGCCCGAGCTCGAACAGCCCAAAGCTCCATTTGGCTCAGCTCTTTTACACCCCAAGATATAGGAGAAATAAAGAACAATAAAACTAAGTTATATTAGATGTTTCCTTGTCCTCATGAGACTAAACCTTATTGTTTTAATAATATTGCCATTTAGAATCGAAGGGTCTATGTGTATCATTTACCTAAATAAGCCGTTTGATGTAGAACTAAGGCTAGCATTATCATGAAATATTTAAAACACGAAATTATTTGTTCTTACAACCAGAAGACTCACAAACTTGGGCATTTCAATGACACTACAACTTGTAGTAGATGATAATCAATTTCGAAATAGATTTGGTCACTAACGTTTCCCCTTACCTTTTCCCTTGTTCTTTTTCTTAGGCTTTCTTTTTCCCTTGTTTTCAATTTTCTGATCCTGACAACTGGCTTGGGTTTGGTATTGGGATTGGGAACCAGAAGCTATAGGAATTGCCAAACCCTCCATCTTACCGTCAATGTTTTCCTCATCACATTTTCCTTCTGATGCCACACCCTTGCCCACGCCCACGCCCACGCCCACGCCCAGACCCATGCCCATCTCTATTGCCTTACCTTTAACATTCCTACTCTGCTGCAAGAATAGCTGATTCAAGTGAGGCTCCACTGTTTGCCTTGTTGACTGCAACCTCTTGCAAACTTCTCTAATTGTTGAAATGTTGTTCTTTACTTGCTGACCACTGAAATTAATTTTTTTTTTTTTTTTTAATTATTCAGTGTTTAAAAGGGTCTACAATAATCTAAGTAAATACAAATGCAAATTACCATGCAACAACTTTGAGTTATAACCAGCAATTTGAAAGCAGATGCCAAATTTAGGATGATATTGTAAAAACTAGAGCACCATTTATAAACTGACCTTTCATCTAATCCAGCATAAATTTGCTTCAATTCTTTAAGCATGCTGACTGCTTCATCCATTTGGCTTTTTAAAGGGTTCTTCTGAACGTTTCCACATTCCATTGCAGCAGTTAAAAGGCGAATACATTTGTCTACATCCAACTGTAAAATCACAAAATTATAAATCCAACGGTCATCTTATTACATACTTCACCCTGCATTCAACCCATGTGAAAAAAGAAATGGAATTACCTTGACCCTTGGGGCATTCAACAAAATGCTCTTTTGATCTCCTGCATTTTCTATCAAATCTAACGCTTCCAGTGTTCTTGAGAAAACTTGAGGGTCCATGAGCAGTTTATCCTCATTTATGGTCTGGGTAATTGAATCCTTATCTGGAAGGATAGCAGAATTTGAAGACGGAAGAGTTGAACTCTTTCCTTGGCCACGACAGTCTGACAAAGAGATATTCTTGTGCAAATTAGTAGCTTCCAGTTTAGCTCCAGAATGGCCTTGAGAAGCTTCAGACGTCGGAAACATGACACCTAATATGTCCTTACATTTGCTGGCTTTCATGTCAACAAAAACTGCATCTTGACACCTGAATCTTGAACAATTTCCCCCCAAACTCACAATTACAAGTGGATTCCTGATCCTTTTAAATGCTTCGGCAATCACATCAACATTCTGATAATTAGGCCTCCATCTTCTGCGAAGGGAATCACAAAATTCCCAAGGCAGTTTGTTGGAAATATAGTTCCTGCCAAGCAAGTCAAAGAGCAAATTTGCACAGCGCAAATTTACGTACTTCCCAAAATTCAAATGAAGCAAACACACTATTACAACCAATCTTAAAACAACGAATGAATGATAATGTTTCACACTTGTATGAGAGTTTCTGATCCATTCCATTGTGTCCTTCTCATGGTAAAGGAACTGCGAAACAATGTGGACAACAAAGTCAAGTACATGTCTCAGGAATTGTTGCCCATCAGGCTTTAAGCTTGAAGTTGGGTTGGTGTTCTCCTCGTCGTAGATAAGCCAATCCACAAAAGATGACTGTGTGGTTAAGATATACCCATGGCCCTGGATGCTAGACAACATAATCAAAAACCGCTCAATAAGATACAGAAAATTAGAAGGTGATATGTATCCTTTCCGCCAGTTGGCATCATAAGTATGTTTCAGAGCTCCAAAGAACTTCCAAACAAGTTCAATGTTATTGCATGATCCGATATTCCCAGAGGCGCTCTCTACAAATTCCTTCCATGGTGTTTTCTCAATAAAACTTTTTGCAACATTCTCAAATACCTCATTATTCGGCTTACCAGACCCAAGAATCATAACTACCACACTTCCAATCTGCCCATAAGATAACTGACTTCTCCAGTCAATAGTTTGAAAAATAACTTCTTCAATTATATTCCTACAAATCTCAGTTTGTCTCATAGAAATCAAGTTCCCTTTCAGTGATTCTCGCCAGTCTGGAGGAAATATGAAGTCAAAGAATTCCTTCTTTGATAGTTCAACAAAATTTTGTAGTGCCCTAGTATCATAATGCTGGTGATGCAGATATTTAGAATTCAAAAGAGATTTAGAAACTTCATACATGTAAGTAGAATTTCTGATTTTGCAGAACACAGATGATGAATTCTGAAATGACTGCTTACGGAAGGCACATAGATTTTCCAACACCTTCATACCAACAAAAAGTAACTCTGAACTCCAATAACTCCGAGCAGCAGAGACAAGTTTGCTGACATCAATTGAAACCAACTTCTCGCTCATTTGAGCACATCTTTTGTCCACCTTTCTAATCCAGTCTGCATCTGGGTTCAGCAAAAGATACTTGGTACCAAGATTGCTATATTGCTTCCATACACTAAGGTAGTTCAAGCAGAAGTCACCATAACTTCTGCAGTTGTTAACATCTTGTGTTTGCAAATGCTCAAGATACTCAAGTATCTTCACAATCATATTCTTCCAGTAATTCCAGTAGTAGACAAGGGTCTCAACAGAAACCTGGTTTCTATGAATTATGTCTTCTGAATATGCTACGAGATCAGAAACTAATTCGTCTTCCCAACCATATTTAGAGCTACTTAAATGAAGATGGAAATCCAAAATCTTTCGTACAGATAATATTTCACCTCTAATACTCTGATGTTTCTTTGAAGCATTTAATTGATGACTCAGCATAAATAGGTTGCACTGCTCATTTGATAAAATGTCAGCTTCATTTCGAACAAATTCAGAAAATTGGTTCGAGTCATTCTCCGCCCATGACTTGGCCTTTCCCAAAAGCTCCTCCTTTTGTCCAAACTGCTTCAAAGGCCAGCCATTGCTACCAGGTGACCATAAAGAGTTGGAAAACACGTAATCAAGTATAAATGCAGATGCTTCTTTGAAATTCCCAGCTTTCTGTAGCAAATCAGCTGCACGGAGAATATCTCCTCTCATTTTTGCAATATTTGCAGCATCCACGAAGTTTCCCGACTCTTCCTCCAGCAATAGAAGTTCATCATAGCAATTCAACGACTTCAAAAATTCACGTCTCAAATCCACTGAATGAAAAGCTTTCACAAATTTCATCATAGATTTGCTATCTTTGAGCTCATGATGATGAAAAGCACACCTCTCCAGAAAGTCTTGTTCAATTGTGTTTATTTCTTCACTTCTTTGGACAATACCAACATCTGTACTGGCATGTTGTTTCCAGTAGTGGATGTATTGCAATCCAACATCAAAAAGCTTTCCTTTGGAGCAAACAGTCAAACATTCTGGCAAAAAATTGCCCTTGGCATACACCTCTGCTGCAAGCTCATAGCGTCCTGCAAGACAAAAACATTCCCCAGCCCTTTCCAGCTCTGGTTCCTCACATTTTTCCAAATAAATCCTACCTGCAGGAACAAGAAATGGAAGTCTTAACGTCAAATTTAGTAATCTCAATCTGGAACAATATATAATATCCAGCACTTTTCGCCATTAACTACTATAACAAGGGCAAGAAGTTCCTGGAGAAAAAAAAAAAAGTTTAGTGAGGAAGAGTATTATTGCAATAGGTCACACGCTGAAAAACTGAAAATAGTTATCCAGTCACTTTTGGAGCTCTCATCTTGGTGCAGAAATGGAACTTGCGATAAAGAAAGCTGCTAAACTCAGTTTCACACTAAACCTTCTGATAAGACTGCAACAATACAGTAGATTGCATACCAAAACCTTCTTATAAAACAATAACTGCATCTGGAGAACATCTAAAAGAAATCTATGGTCTGTTCTCAACAGTAAGTTTGCTTAACATATCAATTCTGTAGTCAAAAAAATCAGCAACAAACATCAGATAGAAGAAACTTCTGAGATGATATCTAATTTTCACAGTAACATAAGTAAGTAAGAAGTATCCATAACACTGCAGCACATAAAGACAGCAAGTTATATTCCATCAAATATCAATATCAATTCATACCTGCTCTTTTACTCTCCCAGCTATAAAAACATTGGCAGCAGAATGGCCTTGTGTATGGTTTCAAATTTTATAGCAGCTTGCCTAGTTTATATTAGCCTTCTCAGGGTTCAAACTGCGGATGCGGTCACATCAGCCTTAAGGGCAGTAGCTTTACACCTTTCTTCCCAGTAAAAATCTTAGTCTTTCGAAGCATATAGTTGCCATTCATAGTTACGAAATGAAATAGCTGGAAGTAACAAATAATTGCCAAAAGAGAAAAGAATATTTAGTATCACCAAGAAAAGGTAAGTGGTTCCTAACTCGTACCACTCCTACCACAAACAAAATATGAATCAAATGGCTCTGACTGAGATTTTTCGAGCAGCGTATAGAGCAGTCTAAATATGAATGTGAAATGGCTCAGCTAGGAAAAGGGTACCGGAATTGGAGAGATGAAGATGAAAAAATAGGTAGTGCAAAACAAAATGTATTCCAGAATATACAGGTCAAATAAAAGGTTTCCAATTTAAAGCATGGCATAAAGTAGAACAACGATGATAGTTGGGAAAAAAAAAAAAAAGACCTTGATGCCCTGCGATTTCCACTCCTCTGGTGTACTCGCAACTTGCATTGCATGTGCCAAGAATCATCCAGCTGTTGACTTCAACAAGAACTTCTTCTTCCAATAGTCAAACATAGGTTTGGAGACATCCTCTCTATCCTCCCAGATCCTAACCTTTGCCTTGTACGAGTGATGGCGACATACAGTTGCTTCAGTTCAGCACACAGATGTGTTTAGCTTCATTGAAGCTGGGAAGGACCTAGGTGACGTGGAGTCAAGCAAATTTTGCTCCTCCATATACTCGTAAATCACTCTCCATTGATTCTTAAGATGTGATGAACCAAAAAAGTTGTATAACAGTACATCCTACAAAGAAATAATACAAGCCATTAACGAAAAAAAAGTAGATTCATAGAATTACTGAAGAATAGAATGAGTAAGGACTTGGATAAAAGTGAAACTTCCAACCAATCAATTTAGCAGTATTTAGCAATCAATCCTCCTCATAATTTGGAGGGGATTTGATTCTAGATAGAAGTTCAATCTTATTTACTAGGAATAGTTGCTAGAGTGCAATCTTATATTATTACCTGCATGATTCTACATTGCCACGCTGAAGATGAAATAAATGACAAATTAAGGAAATAGTCTGAAATTTAAGTTTTAACTAGATCACAAATATGACCATTTCAGTAATAAGATCAAAATTTAGAAGAGTACTTAGGGCATAGCATGAAGAATGGTATAAAAAGCAAAACTCTTTGTTTATTACTCCAATAATAAGACTTTTCAAAAAAAAGAATCACCTGAAATTCAAGGCCTTGCTCTCTACTATGGTCAAAACAAGAGCTTGATTCCCAACAAGTCAGAAATAACCTTCCGAGCACAATCATCTCGTACTAATATCACCTGCTCCGCTCCAAAACCAACTACGCCCCAACATTTCACTCTTTCCAAAAATTTTTGATTGCATTTTCATTGTTCCCAGATTCAAGCAAAATTGGAGATTCCCCATATATCATAGTAGCTCAGGGTTTAAAACATCACATAGGGAGAAGAAACGGTAAAGAAGATCAATGATGCTCTGAGCTAACTTAGTACACCTGCATGGGTACGGAAGTTTTGGCTCAAATTAAGAATTTTTGAGAGTTGCCTTTCGTTCTCTGCCATCATGTTCATTGCTTCTTGATTCCAGTACAAACTTTTGTAGAACAGAGATCGTTATCTTCAAATTGAAGTCAATCCCTGGCAATGTTTTGTGCTGTATCACCAGAAAAACAAACAAACCCTCTTCCACATTTTTGCAGATATATTTGAACAGAGCCAATTTGACTCATTGAAGATCCTGCACCTCGACATAAACAAAATGAATTTGCTCTCATTTTTCCTTTTTTAAGTCGATGATGAAGATCATTACTAATCAGCAATATCAAATCACCATTTTCCATCTAATCTCCTCATAGTTTTGAAATATCTCATATATCATCTCTCTTTTGCCTACTTAAAGTAAACTCACTCTGATAATGGACATACTCTTCGACTCAGTTTACCGTCACCAACCTCCATGGATCGCAGGCCTCCTTTTATGTGAGATATAATTCAGTGAAGACTCTTGAAGAATCAAGCTTCTTGTTCAGTTGTTCATTAAAATGTGGCCAGTAAAATACTAAACCTGTCATACTAACTTCCTTTGTCCTCATAATTGTGTATAAGGAATCTGATCTTAAACTCTGACTTTGGACCAGCAATTTTCCTTATGTCAGGAATCTCTCAAATATGAATTGCCCATTGTTCCATCCAGCATCATCAAGAACTATGAAATGTTAAAACAAGAGGTATGATTAGGTGGAATGTCTACAAAAGAATTTGGGATATCTTTGAATTGCGCTGCATCATCAATATCATCAATATCAAGAAACTGCTTCTGCTAGAAACTTCTCACCCAGGCGGAGCTGCATGCATTACAAGTATATCATTAGCAACACTAAAGAAATAAAAAAAAGCAGAGCTATTCTTATGAAACAAACGCCACAAACCTTTCAATGAGGAAATGTGTTGCTTACAGCAAAACACAGTTTAGGACTGACTGTCAACAAAACGTGCGCTAAGATATTCGTTTCTCTCCCAAGGCCCTTCTCACTCATTTTCTGGGTAGTATGCAGATGCATGATAATCAACTACATAGAATCCTTTAGTTGCCATGTGATGTAGTTTTCTTCTGAAATATTTCATGGTCAACACAGTAGTTTTCCTGTAACCTGACCGACCAAGTATAGTGCTTCTGTTTCTTTTTTGGAAAAGAATCATCTCAAACTGTTCTCTGTTACTTCAAAAGGAAGATCAATCTCTTCCATCACGGTCGAAAGAGGTGGTTCACTACACCGATGATAAAGAGTAGAATTTCATCAACAACAAACTATCAATCAACTTGAATTCTCAACATAACCATACTCTGAAGCAACTCCCCTTAAGTCACTTCCACTCTTACTTCAGCAAGATTCTTTGAACGAACAATTTCTAAAGAGCTGCCCAACTTGGAACTTCAAATTCCTAGTCGAAACAAAATAATAAACAACTAAATGAAATGTTTGCAGTCATATAAGAGGAACAATATATTTCTTCAACAGAATTGAAAAGAGTAGACATACCCTTCAATTTTTCTCTTTGCAACGGTTGATGTAATCATCAGTGTTAACAAATATATATCCAAACGTTTTACCAATTTTGAACATCCTCCAAAGGCAATATATCCCAACTTTCAGAACTTGTGTAATTCGATTCCTTTACTAGTCAATTGTGCAAATTGTATAGAGACCTTCAACTTTGAATTGCTTAATAATTTGAAGAGCTTTCACAAATAGAATCTATGTTCTCCTTGGCGCCAGCCACTTGAAAGTTTCAGTAGAAGGTTATAACTGATCTTTGTCGCGGTCTGAGTCTTTTTTTAAAGATTTCAGAAATTATCACTAAAAAAAACTGAGAATAAGTAGAAATGATCACTGACAAATATGCACTAACATGGAAGGAAAACTGTTGGCAAAGCAAGTAAAGCTTGGAAACCATATATACCTTCCACTTTTGATTTCTGAAAAGATACTACAGTCATCACAATTCATCCAACTCATCAAGCTCTTTTTGGCCTCTAATATAGCTTTAGCCATATCCTTATCTTCATCAGCATTAAAGAAACAACGCCGGTCTTAGCATCGATTAAGATTTTCAAACAAATTCACAGTTAGAGGTTCTTTCATTCCCCAAAATCCATAAACAGTGCCTAACACGGGAAGTAGTTATTCACCATCGTTAGTAAAACGAACCAAACACAATGACAACATTACATATATACCTAGCCCTTGTAAGGCGACGTTGATTCTCTGTGGCGGACAAGAATCCAATGGATCCACTCTGTTACTTCTCACAGTGGAAATTATAATAAGTCCCTCTCCTCCTTGAAACCCATCAATTGATTCACTTTGACAGTAAAGCCGTCACTGTCCATACTTGCCTCCAAGTTTTTCTTGAATTGCTCACTTGAGCACTGTAAGGTGAGACTATGCCAATGCTCAGCTTCTGTTTTGAGCCATTCCAATCTGCATATTAGATAATATATAAAGGAGATTCAATGAAAGTTTTGGCATTTGTCAATTTGAAACACTTCATTCATTATATAGATTCATTATAGTTTTCAAACTTTTCTTCATATATTTTACAAGCAAAATAATACAAATTAGTACATGCAGAGAAATAGGTAATAGTTGAAAAGATAGGACTATTTCCACATTAGCCATTGACAGGAAATCAGCACTTTTTGATTTCCATTTGCAAGGAATTAGAATGGTCTACCTTATCAATAAATTTCATTCTATACGTTTATAAGATACTTCCATCAGAATAAAATTAGGCTAATTAATATACAGGTAACGTTGCTAACAACACAATCATACGTCCATAAAAGAGACAATATGAAACAGTTGGTGTTTCTCAAATGGAAATATGGAAATTAAATGAATCATGTGCATATGAATAAGCTGTGAGATGACAAAGAAAATCAATTATTTGATGGTAATATAAAGTGAGAAACACATACATTTGTACAGGTTCGCAATATTTTCATCAAACTGCTACCTCAACCATATTTCTCCGCATGGCTGATGAACTCTCTCCCATCAAATATGATGAAAGATATGGACCAAACATTGGTGATCCTGGCAAAAAGACTTTTTCATAGCTTTTTCTTTAACATCTGGGAATCTAAAATCTGGTTGTCATAGAAATATGAATTTGGGAAGTGCTGAGGGGTGCATTCGATACTGATATTGAGCAGGTGTTTAGAGTACCCAATGAGCTACACTCTCAATAATCTCCCGAAACCAGCTTCATCAGAAACCTGAACAAACAAACAACAAATTAGGAAAACTAAAAAGAGAAGCAAATGCCAAACATGAAATCTAGATTTGTTGAAACAACATCAACATACATTGCTTCAACATTGCTGGCAATGGCACTCATCCCCAATGAGAATAGTATGTTTTAAGCCCGGGAGTTGCAGCGGTATGTCAACTCACTTTCTTTTAGTTGTGCGCTTCATCAAGACCAGAATGTTCAGTGGTTCCATGGCCACTGAATGCAGCTTAAAGAACTAGAAGCAGTGCAGAATATTACTGAAGCTGTTTTGAAACAGAAATCTTTTAATGATTAGTTCATCTACACTTGGAAGCTCAAGTTGCTAAAGGAATCCGAAGAATTCTTAAAACAGTGTGACATTCACTCCTCCTCTTGTGCAACAAGTATTTTTATGCCCAGAAAAGAAAAATCTTCAGCTACTGAATGTGAAAAAAGTCTTTAGTCCTCAGAAACTATACGTCTTGAAACAATAAAGTTTCAAAAGAATCAAGTAAGTGATCAGGCTACCATTTTTGAAATTATTTTCCAAAATGAAACTTTTGGGTATATGAGTACAGAGGATAAATAGTCCCTAGACGGAGTGACAGTATAGTAATCTTTTCTCTCACTATTCAAGAAATGACTTGAACTCCTTTCACTTCATCTTCATTACTTTTCTCTTTTCTTTATCAATTCATTTTCCAAGAAATGTGATATGAAACACAATCTTCAAGTAAATCGATCTGGAAGAAAGAATGCCTCCACCAGTTTGCTACCAAAACACTTGAAAGCCTTTTACACGAAATCCAATATATTTCTTGATTTCTTCACCAACTTTGAGTCTCTCTTACTCCCAAAACAAGAATATCTCCAAAGGAAAAACAGAGTGCCTTCCCATAGTTGTCTGTTTTTAAAGTTTCTTTCAGCAGCTTTAGAACACGGAGGCCACTTCTTAATTGCAACATTTGTTGGGGCACAAGTAGGTTCTGCATTTGTCCTTAACATGTAAAGAGAAGCATACTAACAGCCTTAGTTTTTCCTGTCCAGGGGGACCCCATATCAGTTGCACAGACGATCTGTGATCACAATGCACCTATCAAGCAGGCAAGAACTGCCTTCATTGAGAATCATTCATTATCGATCTGAGACCAAATTTCTCATTCCAGATGCCCCATTCTGCTCAGAACAGACTTGGCAAGTTTCCTCCACTGTCATTAACATGCAGTTCAATCAAAAACACCCAATTTATGTCAGCAAGCAAAAAAGTAAATCACCTTAGAAACTTACCACAGAATTAGTGCATAGAATTCTTGATAATCTTCAAATTTCGAGCATATGCAATGATTTCCATATTTTATGTTAGGAGTTATATTTACCAGAAAATTACAAAAATGATTCTCCCTCATCATCACTTGGATGTTCTTGACGCCTGACTTTAAAATAGGTAGAATGCTATCAGTCTATTCTCATTTCATTTCATCCTTGGTTGGTTTTAGGACTGATAGAAAAGACCACATTCTACCCACCCTTCCAAGTCGGAAATAGTTCAGTTCGCATCCGCCAAAATCAAAATATCCCACGACAAAGTTTTATAAGGCTCTTTACCAATGTTACTGAATCTGTTCCTCCAGTAATCAACCTTAACGTCATATATCTCTGCTCCATGTGGCTTGGACTCAACAGAACCGACCACTTGAGCATAAGGTGCTCTTGAAATAGTCTCCATCCCTGAAAACAGTTGTGCTCGTGTTTCTTCCAACAAAGGATAAACAAATGACCCAAAATATTGTTCAACTGACTCAAATGATTGAGGAATTTTTTTCACCTGAAAAAAATAAAACAATTACTCAATTTAGTAATAGAATATCAAATAAATTATTTTCAGTCAGTAAAATGAAAACACTTGAAGGTAAAGAGAAGCCCCATCTAAAATTTGATAGCATGTTCAGGTGTCTCTTTACACAAAAAATCTAGGCAAACAGGCAAGGGATTTTAACCAATGCTAGCAACTGATAACGTTATTAATATATATATACACCCGTTAATTACAAGTGTCACAAACACTACTCCATTTTCACAGACAACCGAACGTTACAGATAATTAGAAGGGAAACCCCGAAGCTGAGCATAACAATTAAAATACCAAACAAATATAAACATTAAACAATAGCTAGATACCCATTTGCCATTTTCATTAAACAAAAGGTACGTATATTAAGCATAAATAAATAAAAATGACAAAAATTTTAACTGGCTTACCCATAGAATCTACAGGTAAATATAAAATAAGACTGGTTTTAAAAAAATGAAGAAGAAAAAAAGAAAGCAAACCTTATGACTGAAAAGATTTTGATTAGAAATGTCATCAAGAGACCAAGAAAAGAGAGTTTGAGTGAAACCATAGTCATAATTTGGAACTCCTCTCTTCTTCCTGCTGCTATAACCTTCACCTTCCATCATCATATTCATTAATTCTTCTTCTGAAAATTCCACTGTTAAATTTGAAGTTCCCTTAATGAAGACAAGCAACTAGCTTACTTCAGTAGGAAGAAATGCAAAGGCATTGAAGGAAACAAGTTAAAAGCAACTGGCTTACTTCAGTAGGAAGAAATGCAAAGGCATTGAAGAAAACAAGGACATTTAACTTTGCTTTTTCATTGGGAGCACCTTTTTAAAAGTAGATTAGAGAGACCAAAAGTTAATTTGACATAATTAACTCGATTTTGACATGTTCATATTCCAACAATGAAAATATTAAAAGTTAAAAATTGTTTAAAATAATTGTTCATTTATTTATCTATTTATATTTTACTAAATTAACAATTTTCATTTTAAATCAAGGTTTTTTTACATGAATGGAATGAAACTATTGACATGTTTTAGACAATCTCGTCAAGATGAACAAAATAAGTGATACTTTAACAAGATTTTATCAATTGTATAGGTGATAATGTTTTCAAAAACAAATTTGAACCCAACTGATTTTAGTACTAGCAATGTCACCCTAATACTCTAATTTATAGTTTCCGTCCGATCGTCGGCCGTGAATTAGAGCTTTTTCGAGGCTTATTTTTTTGTAGTTTTGTATTGTTTGTTGCTATTGGAGTGTTGTGTTGTGTTTTTTGAACTGACTGTGGGTGTTCTTCTGGGTTTCCATCATCCCCGAGCCATTTGCAGCTCTCCTCCTCTCGGTCGCACGCCAGGTGCTCGAGGAAAAGGCCCATACAGCGCGCACTCACGCTGCCCCTGCGCGCACGCCTCAGCGCGCCCACCTGCAGCCGCCACTTTGCTATAATTTGTCTGTATTTCTTACCTCTATCTGAGAAACCCTTTAAAGAAAAGATGGCTGAGGTGCTTTTAGCAGGAGGAGGAAGTGATAAAAGGTGATGTTGGCGATTGATGAGAGTGAGCACAGTCACTATGCACTCATGTGGGTTCTTGACAATCTCAAGGATTCGATCAACAAGGGTCAGTTTATTATCTTCATGGCGCAGCAGCCACCCAATTATAACTACTCTTTCGCTTCATCTCTTGGTTCTGCTCGCATGTACTGCCCTACTGCAGCCAGTTAAGTCTTCCTACTTAATCACCTGTTTAGATCACTGTTTGTTCTTATAATTAGATGAGTGATTTTGTGCTGTGTATGTGACAGATTTGGATTTTGTGAACTCTACTCAAAAGAATCATAGGAAGCTGGCATTGGCTTACTTGGAGAAAGCTAGGGACATTTGTGCTAGTAAAGTGGTATGGCTATTTCTTCTGTTAATTCATTTGTTATTGTTGTTTTAGTGTGTGCAGAATTAAGTTTACATTAATTTGCAGGTAACAGCAGAGTTGGTCACAGAGGTAGGGGATACTAAAGCTGCTATATGTACTGCAGTTCAAAAACTCAATATCAATCTGCTAAAGAACGTAGAGGAGGGGCAAACAAAGTGAAAGAAGCTAGAGATGTGAGGTTGATAATGGCGCAAATTCAGTTCATGCAAAAGAATGTAGAGGAGGCCTTGAAGAGTTATGAAGAATTGGAGAAAGAGGATCCTAGTGATTTCAGGCCTTACTCTTGTAAGGGAATGATATATAGTTTGCTTGATGGAAATGTCAGAGGCTAAAGAGCAATAGATAACTTTCACCCAAGAAATTTGAGGTGGAGGGTTATTCACTTATTTGAGGACTAATCAAGAAGATGGTAATTGATTTGTTGTTTTGAGTTTTTGAAAATTACTCTTGAATCAGAGATCAAATCAGCCCTTAATTCAAATAGTAAATGTAAAACTAAGGCTAGCATTATCATGAGATATTAAAAACATGAAATTATTTGTTCTTACAACCAAAGACTCACAAACTTAGCCATTTCAATTTGACACTACAACATGTAGTAGATGGTAATCAATTTCAGAAATAGGAATTCTGAGATTTGGTTACTAATGTTTCCCCTTTCTTTTTCTTAGGCGTTCTTTTTCCCATCCCCTAGTTTTCAATTTCCTGATCCTGACAATTGGCTTGGGTTTGGGATTGGGAACCAGAAGCTATAGGAACTGCCAAACCCTCCATCTTACTGTCAATGTTTCCCTCATCACATTTTCCTTCTGATGCCACACCCTCGCCCATGCCCACGCCCGTCTCTGTTGCCTTGCCTTTAACACTCCTACTCTGCTGCAAGAATAGCTGATTCAAGTGAGGCTCCACTGTTTGCCTTGTTGACTGCAACCTCTTGCAAACTTCTCTAATTGTTGAAATGTTGTTCTTCACTTGCTGACCACTGAAATCAATTATTTTCAAAAAAAAATTATCAAGTGTTTAAATGGCACTACATTAATCTAACCACCAAGTAAATAAAAATGCAAATTACCATGCAACAACTTCGAGTCATAACCAGCAATTGGAAAACAGTTGACAAATTTAGGATGATATTGTAAAAATTAAGGCGCCATATTTAAACTGACCTTTCATCTAATCCAGCATAAAGTTGCTTCAATTCTTTAAGCATGCTGACTGCTTCATCCATCTGGCTTTTTCAAAGGGTTCTTCTGAACGTTTTCACATTCCATTGCCGCAGTTAAAAGACGAATACATTTGTCTACATCCAACTGTAAAATCACAAAATAATAAAACCAACGCTCATCTTATTACTTACTCCATCTGCATTCAACTGATGTGAAAAAAGAAATGGCACTACCTTAACTCTTGGGGCATTCAACAAAATGCTCTTTTGATCTTCTGCATTTCCTATCAAAACTAACGCTTCATGTGTTTCTGAGAAAACTCCAGGGTCCATGAACAGTTTATGCTCATTTATGGTCCGGGTGATTGAATCCTTATTTGGAAGGATAGCAGAATTTGAAGACGGAAGAATTGAACTCAATCCTTGGCCACGACAGTCTGACGAAGAGATAATCTTGTGCAAATTAGTAGCTTCCAGTTTAGCTCCAGAATGGCCTTGAGAAGCTTTAGACTCACCCATAGAATCTACAGGTAAATATAAAATAAGACTGGTTTTAGAAAATGAAGAAGAAAAAAAGGAAAGCAAACCTTATGACTGAAAAGATTTTGATTAGAAATTGTTGAACGGTGATACCATGCTGGAAATGATGAAGTCAACGCACGGTGGGAGTTGCAAGATTTTGGCGCCACGGTTTGAAATGCTACTGTGCATGAAGAAGTTGTTTTTGGTCACTGTTTAAGAAATATTTCAGTGATCTGTTTAGGTGAATTAGGTTGATAAAATGATGTATTTTGATATGTTTGTACGTGCATTAGTTGGAGTGTTTGGTTTAAATTTTAAATTTGCAGCTTTAGGTGGAACAGTTGCGGTGCTTTGTATAAATCTACCCCTGTTTTTTGATGAAAACAGAGCAAATTTCAGTTCAGATTTTTCTCTCTCACAACAGCTCTCTCTCACGTCAGTTTTTGGTCCTCTTTTCTTAGTATACTCTAGCTCTAAAAACCAACAAGTGGTATCAGAGCTGTTGTGATCTTTCAGGACCTGGAAAAACAAAAACCTCTTTAACAAACTCAACACCATATGTAATCATCTTCATGGCACAACTCAAGCTTCACTTTCTCCACCCATCTTCATGGAGATCATTCCATGTATGGGCTGTCAAGAAGACTTATTTAAGAGGCCATGGGTTGTGGCAATACGTGGAGAGGAGAAGCAAGTTCCTCATTTGGGAGCAACCCCACACTGAACCAAATCAGGATTCATGAAGAGGAGATGTCTAAGCACCAAGGCCCTATCTTACGTACACTCAGCAGTGACAGACCAAGTCTTCCACCAGGATTTGGCGTGTGAAACTCCTAAAGAGGCTTGGGATAAGCTTAATGAGGAGTTTGGGGGCAGCAATACAAGGCAACATGTAGATTCAAACCTGAGAAGAGATTTGAGATGCTTAAGATCGAGAGGCTGAGTCTGTGAAGGAGTATTGGATAGGCTGATGAATGTGGTTAACAAGATTAAGCTACTTGGTGAAGAGTTGACTACAAGAGGATAATAGAAGGTTTGGTCAGTTTACCTAGAGATTTTGAGGCAAAATCTCTTCACTTGAAGACTCCAAAGACATGTCCCAGATCAGCTCAGCAGAACTTTGCATGCTCTTCAAGCACAAGAGTATAGGGATGGTTGCTGAGGCAGGAAGACTCAAGTGAAGGAGCCATGATAGCAAGCCAAAACAAGGTTGTTGGAGAGTAGGAAAAGAGTGAAGTTAACACGAAAGAAAAAAATGCGGTACTGAGAACCTTTCCTCCTTGTCCTCACTGCAAGAAAGAACCACCCTGAAAATAGATGTTGGTTCAGGCCTGGCATACAATGCAGTTCTTTGTAAGCAGTTTGGACATGTAAAAGGGTGTGCAAGAACAAAGGAGGGCAGCAGGAGCATCAATCCCAGGCAGTAGAGAATCACACACAACTCAAGAATTTGAGCAGTTTTTTATGGCTTCAGGATGCGTGGCTGATTTTTGATCAAGAGGTGTGGTCAATTGACAGTGATTGCAGCAACCATATGTCACCAAACATGTCCATTTTTCATGAGCTTAGATCAAAGCTACAAGTATAAAGTTAAAGTGAAATGGAGAGCTGCTGGAGGTCAAAGGCAAGGGAAATGTTTCTGTCCAAACCAAGTCAGGTATCAAGATTATATCTGTGTTTTATTTGTTCCTAAAATCAGTCAAAGCCTACTTAGTGTAGGACAAATGCTTGAGGAATACTCTCTCTTCATTTTAAAACTCAGCATGTGTCATTATGGAACGTGATGGGAATGAGTTAAGAGAGTTAAGATGCAAAAAAAAAAAAAAAAAAAAACTTCCCGGTAGAGTGGGAAAGTTTGTTTTTTCAAAACCATTCAGCTAACATAGTTAGCAGAGATGTTAAGGTGGACGAATGTGCTGTTTGGAACTGTAAAAAAAATCAGGTTAAAGTCAGGCCAAGCTTCAGCAAGATAGAATGCCCAAAAGTCAGATTGAAGAAGTGAATTCAGATGAAGTTGATGAAGTTCCAGTCAAGTACAAAGCCATATCTAAAATTTATGAGAGGTGCAATGTGGTTGGTTGAATCAACAAGCTACAATGAGGCAGTCAAATCTGATGATGGAAAGCTACAATGAAGAGGATTCTTTAATATAGAAGAGACAGGTTGCTGATATAATGACTAAGCCATTGTCCAAAGCCAAGTTTGAATATCTTCAGTTTCAGAGTTGGTGTTTCCAGCAATGATATCAAGGAGAGATGTTGAACGGTGATACCATGCTGGAAATGATGACGTCAACGCACGGTGGGAGTTGCAAGATTTTGGCACCACGTTTGAAATGCTACTGTGCATGAAGAAGTTGTTTTTGGTCACTGTTTAAGAAATATTTCAGTGATGTGTTTTAGGTGAATTAGTTGATAAAATGATGTATTTTGATATGTTTGTACGTGCATTAGTTGGAGTGTTTTGGTTTAAATTTTAAATTTGCAGCTTTAGGTGGAACAGTGGCGTGTGCTTTGTATAAATCTACCCCTGTTTTTTGAATGTAAAACAGAGCAAATTTCAGTTCAGATTTTCTCTCTCTACAGCTCTCTCTCACGTCAGTTTTTGGTCCTCTTTTCTTAGTATACTCCAGCTCTAAAAACAAACAGAAATGTCATCAAGAGACCAGAAAAGAGAGTTTGAGTGAAACCATAGTCATAATTTGGAACTCTCTCTTCTCTCCTGCTGCTATAACCTTCACCTTCACCTACCATCATCATATTCATTAATTCTTCTTCTGAGAATTCCACAGTTCAATTTGAAGTTTCCTTATGAGACAAGCTACTAGCTTACTTCAGTAGGAAGAAATGCAGGCATGAAAAAACAAGGACATTTAACTTTGCTTTTTCTTTGGGAACACCTTTTTAAAGCAATTAAAGAGACCAAAAGCTAATTTGACATAATAATTCGATTTTGACATGTTCATATTCCAACAATGAAATATTAAAAGTTAAAAATTGTTTAAAATATTGTTCATTATTTATCTTTTTAAATCAAGATTTTTTTACATGAATGGAATCAAAACTATTCACTATTCACATGTTTTAGACAATCTCGTCAAGATGAACAAAATAAGTGATACTTTAACAAGATTTTTCAACTGTATAGATGATAAATTTCGTATTTTTTTTACTTTGTTTACTATTTTTTCAGACAAACCTGTGAAAATTTAACTTCCCCGGCCATCCCAAGTTTCCATTTAACAAAATGGCCTTGAAAATTTTTTTCATTTTTTTTTTTTTTTTAATTTAGAAGAAGCTAACGTGGCACAGTTAGGATTCTTAAACATGTAAAATGGGTTAAAATGAAAGATTAAAACATATGTGAGCAAAATCATAATTAATGAAAGTTTTTTAAAATTTAAAATTCAAAAGTTCGCCCCACCCATTCAAATCGCTTAATCGAAATTGATTAGGGCAAAAATCGATTTCTTGAACCCTAACGGAGATTGTGCGATTTTCGATCGAAACTCCAAATTTCACACCAAATTCAATCCTAAAATCGATTTCTTAAACCCTAAATAGATCTATTGCGATTTTCAGCGATGCGTCCAGATTTCTGATCGAAACTGCAATTTTCACACCAAATTCATCCTAAAATCGATTTCTTGAACCATAAATGGAATCTCTGTGATTTTTGGCGACCGTCCAGATTTTCGATCGAAATTGCAAATTTTCACACCAAATTCAATCTAAAACCATGGCTAACATTCACAATCAGGAGGAAACCCAATGCCATTTCAATCATAGAGTTCGGTGGCGCAAGCAGTTTAATGGCTGCTCCGGTGGATCATCCATAGAAAGTGAAAAAAAGACGAACAGAAACAGAAAAAAAACGACAAAAAGAGTTCAAGGCGAGGAGAACGCAAGGTTAGCAGAGTGTAGTGAGCCAGCGGAATCAGGTTAGGAGGAGAGTCCAGCGAGAATTTAGGTGAAGAGGATGAGGCCCGGCGAGAATGCAAGCAACGAGGAGGCCGTGAAGAAAGGGTACGTATTGTTTTAGGAGTGTTGCTCTGTACAGTCGCTTAAGCAATCATTGTATCACTTAAGTGATTCATCTTTTTTACTCATGGTCGCTTAAGCATTTCAATCACTTAAGCAATCTGGCCTAGGCAGAATTACATCTGCCCAGATCTAAGATCGCTAAGCGATCATTAGTATCACTTAAGCGATTCATCTCTTTTACTCATGGTCGCTTAAGCAATTCCAGATCGCTTAATGATCTTGTTCAGGCAAATCATCTGCCCAGATCTAAGATCGCTTAAGCGATCGATTCTCTTTCCTTTGGTCACTTATGATTCTAGATTGCTTAGTGATCTTGTCCGAGCAGAATCATCTGCCCAGATCAAGATCGCTTAATGATCTTCATTCAATTTACTCTTGGTCGCTTAAGCGATTTCAGAGATCTTGCACAAGGCAGAATCAAGATCTCTTAACGATCCGAAATCGCTTAAGTGACCACAGAAGTATTTTTTTGTTGCCGATATTTGTTTATTATTGTTTTGG